AATTTGTCTTGCCCAGTTAACAAACCGCCCCTGGTTAACCCTTTCATTACTAAGACGTTCGTGTAAGTTTTGTACACAAAGGGTAAAATATACACGGAGGTAAAAGAAACGCGAATAAGTATGGATAAAACCCACTACACTCAACAGAGGTTTGTCATGTGTAAAGAAAAAATTCTAATTCGTCCAATTTACACAGCCATGAAAGTGTCACTGAGTGGCTGTTTTATTGTAGTCTTAGCCTCACCATGTTACTTATGTGGCCTTGACCTTGGGACAGAAGTCTGTACAGTGTGTGGCTTCCGGTTGCTGCAATAACCTCCCTGCATCTTCGACACAAAGAATTCCTGAGAGTGTGTATTTGTCGACCTGGGATCTGAACCCATACCTGACCGTTGGCTGTAGCCAACTGAGGAGCTGTCAGTGATGGTGGTGACAGCTGGTTGAGCAGTTTCTGGATAGCGTCCCGAACACGCTCAAATGGGTTTAAGTGTGATAAACGAGCCAGAAGAGGCAAAATACTGATGTTTATCTGCCCCAGGGACTGTTTTATTACGCGGGCAGTATGAGTTCTCGGGTTGTCCTACTTGGAAAAGAAATTTAGATGCCTCTTGCAAAAGGGCACCACAAAAGGGTCAAGAACCTGGTCAATGTAGTGCTGAGCTATAACCCAATTTCCTTGCCCATGACCTACTTTCTAAAAGGACACTGGTCCAGTTCTGTGATTTAGAGCTATGGCTCCCCAAATCGTGTCGCTTTTCCCTCCCCAAGGGTCTCTCTCTACGACGTTGGCTTCAACGCCGCAAGTCAGCTATCTGTGCGCCACACACGGATGTGCCCATTTTGAAGGATCAACCTAGAATCTCCCCAGTTCGCCCGAAGGTGTTTCTGGTGGTCTCAGTAGCAGTTAGAAATGGATCCATCCAGTATTGGCACTCAGGAGGCGATCCTGAGCTGCGATTGTTGCCTTTGGTCTTCCGCCCCGGGAAGATCACTGGTCTTTTTAGTGGCGCAAAAACGGTTCAGTAGACTGTAGATGATGGAGACAAGCACAACTCAAACAGTTGCCACATGTTAAGCAGACTGACTAGCCTGTAGTCGTCCAAAAGCCCCCCCCACGGTTTTCTGATGAAAGTCTTAACATCTTGAAACTGCTTTCGTTTTCAACTGAATTTAATATTACCTAGCTTCAAATTTGTAGGCCAGTACTACGTGACTCCATGAACACAAAATCACTACTCGAATGATGTGACAAGTGAGTACCAGTAAGGGGGGGGGGGGGCACTATCGAGAGTGGATCGGGTCGGGTCGGGTTGGGTCGGGTCGTCGGGTCCGGACGTTTTATGGTGGTTTCAGTGCACACTACAACCCCACCACGATTGTTCCCGACCAGCTGGAAGTTAAAGTAGAGAAAGATTCAACTCCAATGGCTTCCAGGAGTCCTTTCCCCAGTTCCCTGTTGAAGTGCTGCGGCAGCCTGGAATCCCATAAACATGGTTACACTAGTTACATCGATAACTTTCTATTATCAATGATGGTTCATAAGATGATAGCCCTAATTCATTCTGCTAAAAATGTGTACGCGGAAGTCTGCACATTGGTTCAGATGGTGTTGCAGTCTTTGTTTTGAAGCTCTCTTTCGTTTCTTCAGAAGAGAATAGGAATAGCGCAGTTAGTTAGTTTCGCTTTTATTGTTTTTCACACGAGTGGGGTTATTCTATTAGCAAAGTCTGAACTTTTTCGAAGAGAGCGCCACCGGGCTTTGAGTGTCAACATGGACACGTTACTGAGCCTTCTTGTGATCGGCTGTTTGTTTTTGTAGGTCACCAACGTAGTCGATCGATTTGTGCCACGATGGCTGCTTTGCGCCCTCAATTTGGCTAGCCCCGACTACCAGATCGAAGCGACACGACTCGACCCGACCTGACCCGACCCGACCCGACCCGATCGCGTATATAGCACCCCTTATAAGGTGTAATAGTTGATTAGTCATTTGTTGAACAAGCGACTAATCATTGCATTGCGTTGTTCGAATGATGCCCGTCCAGCAGGTTCAGACCATGCTCCAAAGGAACATGTCAACAGTACTCACCAGTAGAAACTTTGGCCAGCGCTTTGACGACAATGAAAATTGTGCGTTTCTTTCGCCTTTGAGTATATTAACTCAAGACAGATTCAAACAATTTCGGCATAACGTTCGTGTGTGTATTGGGTATATGTGCATGTGTATCCTTTGAATTTACTTTCTCTGCCCAATTGCGACTTAGTGAAAACCACCTCTAGATCTATATCCCAAAATTTTCCATCACCCTCTCTCTTGTTCTGCCTCTGTCTCTTGCCATGTATTTGTGTCGTTTCCAGGCTGACTGTCTGTTTGTCTTTCTGCTTGTTTGTCTTCTGTCTGCTCATGACTCTCTCTCTCTCTCTCTCTCTCTCTCTCTCTCTCTCTCTTTCTCTCCCTCTGTGTCTCTCTCTCTGTCTCTCTCTCTCTCTCTCTCTCTCT